TAAACAAACCAAAACACACCAAACACACCACCCACCTGCCTGAAGATCAAATTAGTTCAAGTATTCAAAAGCTATGACTAGAAATAGCACTTGAAACAGGAAAAGTATTTTTTTCAAACAACTATACGTCTGGCCAGGACTTTGGGAGTATTGCATAATTCAGTGTTCACAAGTACCAGCTAAGAAGTAGCCAAGACCTCCCTCTGAATACTACTTAACAAATTAAATTTTCAAGCCAGATACTACTTAAAATCATACTCCACTGTTTTACTCTCTCTGCAAGTGAGCAAAGGATCTCTTCCAGTGTAAACGTACAGGAGACTAACTGCTACAAAGTCCTTCCTTCCTACAGTTCTGATTAACGGAAAATGCATGAAATAAGACTCCAACTCCTTCACGGCACAGGGTTCTGTCCTTGATGCCCTGCAGCTCTCGAGACACCAAAAGGACAATTGACATGAAGAGGTCTCAAAGAGCACAAGCAGAGAGGAGAGGTTAAAAAAAGGAAAAAAAAAGAAAACAAAACAACATAGGCTATTTTCCTGCAGAGCGCACAGCGCTCTGGCACAGTCCATGGCAGTTCACCAACTCATGTAGCCCAAGCCTTGATATCTCAGCTAAAATAACTGAAGGCTCACATGATGTTAAATGTATCTATAGGTGAATTTTCATTTGTAGGATAGGTTAGGTTTTGCCATAACAAGCATAAATGTTTCCATCTTCTAGCTGCCATGTTGAACAGATGGGGAGGGAGTTGCTCCGATCAACTCAATGACCTTCACTGAAGAGCCCCAACTCTGAATATGATCTGTACAGGGAAGTTACCCTTCCCTACCAGTTGCAAGCAATGAATCCATACACTCACATTCCTACAAACAAGAGCTTAAAATTGATAATAATTTATAAGAAAAGATCAGTAGCTCAGCAGAAACTTACTTCTGAGTAACAAGATGGCATATGAACCAATGGTGGAATTCAGCAGCAAGACTCAGTCCTGACAGTTACCAATCCCATTGCCCCTTGCACCAGGCAATGTTGAGAAGTTCAAGCAGTAGCGAACAGGAAAAGGAGTTTAAATGTTTGGGCAATAGATTTGTACTGTGCAAAATACACTTGCTTCCACTGCAGGCACAACTTACAGAGACACAAAATAAGCTGCTTCTTCTCTTCTTTTTAACCTCCTGTATTCAGCAGTGCATTTAACCTTGGAGCTGTCAAGCTCCATCATGAATAATGAGCCATGACAACACTCCAAGTGATCCTTGGAGAACAGACCAATTTTTACTATATGCTATGCAAGGCAAAACACTTATCATATTCCCATGGTACCGTACCTGCTTTGAAAATACACAGTAATGTGGCCATCAAGAGGAGACTACAAGTAAGTACAGAAAAAATAAGCAACTTCCTGATATTTCATCACCTCAAAACACAGAACAAGGAATAAAACATGTAACATCCTAATGTTTCCTTTTTAAACTTAAGCCAGGAGTGAGAAGATTTGTCTCACTGAATGTGCATTTCACACAAACATTTCACAGCCAAGGAACATCTGCATTTGCAACAACCCATGGTGGCTATAGTAGAGAGGGGACCCTGCGGGTCTTGCAGCACTGTGCTCAGGGTCCCCTAGCAGAGGAAGATGAACACAGCACAGGAGAACATCCTCTGCCCCAAGCAGCCCCTTCAACACTCTCAGAACAAACATACATGCACACCCCATACACATGGGGCTGCCAGAAATACAGGAAGAAATTGTAGCTGTGTGAATGACCGACAGTCCTCTACACCAATACCCTAACCATGCTGGCAGGTCTTTAAGAAAGCACAGCACAGGTAAGCATCCTAGCCTTGTTGCCACAACCAATAGCACAATGCATCATTTCCATCCTCTGTATGGGCACCACTTTCCTTAAACTTCAGTTTCAAAAAGTTACTATAAACTAAGGGAGCTTTCAAAAAGCTCTAGAGAGCAGGAAAGCAGCAATATCAGACAGTAGAGGCTTGGCTTTCATTAAGTTGCTAAGTTTGCAGTTTCAGGCTGCAGAAACCAGTCCTAAGCACTTTGAGGAGTTTTAAGTGCTAACACATCTCCCTCTCACTGAACTGCTGTTAAAAACAGAGCCCTCTCTCCTGCAAGACTGGATGGCTCATAGAGAGCCAAAGTCAGAAAATCCCTTGAGTTTTTGCCAACAGTTGAAGCTGAAGAGCCTCTACCACTGAAGTGATAATAGTTACATATAATAATGTGTTTACTGACAATTCTGTTTTCCATTTGGGGATATGACCATCCATACCCCCTCTCCACCTGCCCTCCTTCCCCTCTACTCACATCTTTCACATACAGGGTATTTTGCAGCTACTCACATCATACCAGATCACCCCTTCCCCTGAAGCACTCCCAAATCAGCAAGACCCGTGCTATCACCACACAGCACTACCACCATCTCCCATTCAAAACAGTTCTGCTCTTAACAGAGGACTCGCTCTATATTCAAAGAGGTCCCCTAGAATTATAGGGACAATAATTTTCTTTTTAGCATTACAGTTAAAACACCCTCAGCCCTCCACAATACACCCTGTTAGCTTCTCCCACTCCCTGATAATATATTTCCATTTATGTCCCACATCACAGCTCTGAATGTTTAGCAATTCCATTCCATGCTAGCAATATCTGGCAATAAGATCCCTTTAAAAAAGGCTAATTACAGATTCCACTTGAACAGAAATTGGTACTGGGCCAACCTGTAAGGTCTTTAATAAGCTTTCAAACCTCACTCTATGCCAGGCAAGACTTTGCTCTCCACTAGGAACTGTGACATACCCCTAAAAGCAAAGGTGGAAAGCTTGCAACTGCAAGAGAACGAAGGAAGGTCACAGCTCTAATTCTTCTTGCAGCACTGCACCTTCTCCATGCAAGTCTTTCCCTGGAGATATGCTGCCTGTGATTCACAAAACAGAACAAGGAAGCCAGTTCAGATACCATGAACATAATGAAAAGTAGTCATAAAAAAACCAGCAGACAGTTCTATTGGACGAGGAACAAAGACCAGTATGACAGTAAATGGGTCAAGGACTCGAAGGACTGATAACATTAAGAATGCGTGGTCATGTGCATGCATGGAGCATGGCATTTCCTGAGAACACTTGTGTGAAGGTGGAGTTCTAGTTTTCAAAAGGATGAAGGAACATAAAGCAAAGTCTCTCAAGCACCTCAGTACCTAGTCCCGTATCAGGACAAATGTTTTCTGCCTATATATGCCAGGCATTGCACAGAAAACAACAATCTCACCTGTGGATGCTCCTCTCCACCTTTGCATTGCTGCCACACTTTTGCTGTCTGGAAGCTGTGCCCACAACACATGGTGAAATCACATTTCAGCCAGACTGGTGTTCTGAAGGGAATTAATGCAAGACTCTGCAGACCACCCTTTGTGCTACCTGCCTGACAACTAGGGTGGAAACTGGAAAGGGTAATTAATAAGACAATGGTCAACATAAAGATAGTCCTGTTTTGAAGACACAATACTAGCACCCAGGAAAACTACGTAACAACTTCCTGTGCAAACTTAGGCAAGTCATCCTTTTTCACTGTGGTCAACGACTATGTGGCATCGCAGGCAGATGTCACACCTGATATAGTAAAATACTCCTGTCAGAGTGGATGACTGCCCAGAAAATCCCAGCTGTAATGCATGGGAACCATGCGCACTGTGTACACAGCTGTCAGGAAGTCTCCAACTGGGAACTCAACCCAGAGGCACTTAGGAAAAAAAAAAAAAAAAAAAAGAAGAGTTACGAGCGTTACACATGTAAAGCATACACGTCAATAATGTTTATTTGACAGAGATTAAACCCATGAATATCTACAACATCCTCAGCTTGTAACATAGCTAAAAGTTTTCCCCACTGGAAAAGGCCACACTAAAAGAATGACTTGCAACAGTAGCAGACTTTTCTCCTATATACAGATGAGTGTTTATGAGGCCAGCAGAATCACTCTTGTAAAAGGGCTACACACCTACTCCCTGGACACTATTAAAACACGTTTCTATTGTCTTGAAGGACACCTTTGGAGGCAGGGAAACAGAACCGTGGTACAACTGCAAAGCTTCACACATTGATTTTGAAAGGCAAACCACAAGCCTGGCCACTCCCCAGTCCCCTAAAAGCTGAGAATAAAAAAGCAGCAGGAAAGAAACTATTTTTTTCCAGTCTTATTTCTCTGATGTACCCATGCAGATTTTACTGAACCATTTGCAGTGCTTCCCAACTGAAGACAGATCTAGCAGGGAGAATTTAACCTAGAACCTCAAGACTATCAAAAATACAAGTACCTGAATACAGACTACCATGAGAAGTAAGAAATCCAAGACGTATGTTAATAGATGCTCTAATTATTAACACATGCACACAGAGAGCTTAGCAGAAGCACCAAGGCATTTGAAATGAAAAGCACTATTCAAATACAGATATTTGCCAGCAGCTGTACCATCACCATATTCTCTAGATAGTGGTTTTCTTTCAGCAGACATCAAGTTAATCCCACAGGACGGTATCAGTCACTTTTATAATAGCTACTGACCTCATTTCTGTGTTTGAGACCTGCCGTAGTGTCATGACTAAATGTAGCAAGCAACAAATCGAACTCTGTCAGCAGCCAGTGCCTGTCCTTTCTCTTTTCAAAGCTTTAATTCATTTCTGCATTTTTTAAAGTCATGCTGCTTCAAAACAGCTGATCCAGATGGTGGATATTTGGATTCCAACCTTCTCACATGGTGATGTGACTCAAGAAAATAAAAACTGTTGCTACTTGCTGCTGACCTACTTCATTCTTTGTTTCCTGCCATACATCAGAATAAACAATACAGCTCATTGAACTCACCTTCCACACCTACCCACCACTATGTAGCAAATGTAAAATAAAATTAGTAGAGGAAGAAGGGGGAAGGGAAAAAACCCAGCATGATCTAGTGGGGGAAGGAGGGAACAACTCTCACCTCTATCATAGTCATCTTCCTCTACTGCTTTTTCCTGAAGCTTCTGGAGCCATAAGATCAAGGATTTTATCTGTGCAAAGAGAAAAAAGTTAATGATGAAGTTGCATTTTAAAAATACTTGCACTATTAACCTCTACATCATATAAATTTAATGGATTACTAAATCGCTAGAATGGCCTGACTTTGAGAGTTAAGCCCACATTTGTTAAGTGGACAGACCCATTTGGAACTCAGCTGAACTGCGGCTACTTGAGCCAAGCACAGCTTCAGTCCAAATGCATACAGAGAATAACAAACAATATTTCTTGAAAAGCAAAAGAGATCATGTGATTGTAGGATACTTTTTACACTTTGAATAAATCAAAGTACAGGCTATTACAGGATTCTGACAACACAGCATCTACTTCAGATCGCATTGTACTCTGCGTGCTCTAGAGACCATTCTAACAATTTTTGCTCCATATGAGTTTTGCACAGAACAAATCCAGAATTTCCATCAGAAAACCATTTTCTTCTGTAAGTAAAAGAAAGAAATATAGCATGAATGTTTTAGAGCAGGTATACTCATGGCACAGAAAACTGTGTTCACATGAAGCTTATGAAGTTTATTAAAATATAATTTAGGCTCATCTGCCTAATGCTGACATTTACATCTTCAAAAATGTTCACACTGCATATGCTAGGTGGGGGGGGGGAGAATCAAACCACCAAGAATACCCGTATCACACACAGAGCACCCTTTCACACCCAAAAAAGAAACTTTTACCACAAAAGAGGTTTTCTTTCAAAAGCTACTGCTCATTTTTAACACAAAGGGTTTGGACAAGAGTATTAAATTTACTAAAAATTTGTAAAGCCAGGGGTGTATTTAAAGGCCATTACAAGTTTTTACTGCAGAAGAATTTGGTAAGAAGGTAGGTAGTCCTCATTGCCATGCCAGCCACTGCCTAACATGGCTACAGCTACAAGACTGAGAAGTACTTGCTTCTTATTAAATTTACACATGGCCTGTACCAAACATATCATTATTAACACTGAAAGAGGTAAGCCTGGAAAAACAAGCAGCATACATTCTCATAGCCCAAAGCCTGAAAGTGCTTGGGAAAGCATTTTTCAGCACAAGAAAGTCTATGCTTCAGATATTTTGCATTTACAAGAGATTTCACTCCTCCCTGAAACTCCTTTATATTTAAATCTCTATATTTAAATTCTAGATTGCATAGAGGAAAAATAGATGAAGCCAGCTAGCAACTTACCACAAACATTAAGTTATCATGACTACACAATCAACACACAAATTAGGTAAGACATTTAAATTAACCGTATTCCTTCTAAATATGGTATGTGAAAGTCAGAAAATAACTAGAAAAAATAAAGCCAGAAAACAATCAAAACCAGGCTATAGGATGCCCCAGAGGGAAAAAGCAAACAACACTGCACAACATTGTAAATACTCCCTTTTCCTCAGGGGTTTATTTTATTTTAGTTTTCACATCCTGAAACTCCAATCTTTTTCTCTGAGACTGGTGAGGAATGTGTAACATATTGAAGGGAGGAGCCATGAATCCTCACCATAAATTATTTTCTGTATGTTATGCCATACTTTTGATAGAGTTTTAAAGAAGCCTGCAGTAGGAATTATTCAAATGACGTTTTTCATATATATGATATATAACAACCATCTGCATTGAGAAGTCAGCTTTGCTGCTGTTTGCCATGTTTACTCCATCATTTGCTTGCAGTGGCAGGTCATTTAAAGACTGCTTGGGTACCACAGCCCAGGCATATCCACAGCAAACTGACTGATGCTGTCACAGTATTTTCCATTTGCAGGCTTGTAAGATGTTTGGAGCTCATCTAATCAAAGAGCTGCTTCAGCGTGGCATGTCTTATAACTGTACCAGTGATGGCCACAAGTACAAAAAAAGCGTAAGTTTAACAACCTTGGTATTGTCCCCTTTTCTGGACTACAGTTGCTTTTGTTCCTTTCTGAAAGTTTGAGACTTGCTCATTATCATTACAATATGAAGAGGCTTCAAATTAAACATATACAACTGGCTAATCAAGGGCAAAGACATGCGAGGGCACAAATCCCCAATTCTCTGTTCAATGAATTAATGACTACAGAAATAAAAGACAGAAATGTTTCTTTTATACCTATCAAAGAAGCATGATGAATAGATAGAAAAATAATTTCCTATTTTGATTATGGCTTATATTCCCAAATTTGCAGTGAATTAATTTCCCAAACTGTCCCAGGCTTTGGGCACATTGTCATTCCAGGCATGAAGCCAAAGAAACTGCTCCATAAAAATGTGTGTGAAGCCTGTACATAAGAGAACCTAGCTTGAGTCCAAGATGCATCCTCTATGGAAAGTAAGGATCAGAGAGCATTGTAAGCCCAGATCAGATGTCAAAACAACCCAACCAGCCACTTAGGGCGCTGTAAACAGAAATGAAATCAAGCCAGTATTTGTCTCCTTATTGCAGGCAAGCTCAAAATAGTTTCCCTCCAACACCCACCCCACCATCCTAAAGACTCTATAACAAAACATAGCTAATCCTTCTTAAAAGTTTCCCTTCCCACAAAAACAAACACAGTGAATCAGACTGCCTGTGTGGTAGATATATACGTGGGTATACACAAATGCAAAAACAAGGACTCCTGACTCAACAGCCCAGTACTCCTCTGGTGTGGAAGGAAAAAAGGTTCAATTCCCAGTTGGAGTTAGAGCAAGGACTTGACCCTCATTTTTCTTCATGTGGGGAGACCACCCATCATTAGTTGACAGGTTACTCTCATATGCATGCCTCACTCCAAGAACTTGGCTAAACTTAATGCATTTCTAGTTACGAAGTTTAGCGTTGTTAAATCATGGCGCATCAAGAAAAGAGTTCCTACCACCCTCAAATTTCGTACTACAGATATTCCAAACTGCAGACAAAACAGCCATCTGTGAAAGAAAACGGTATTTGTTGAATTCAGAAACTGATGTGTGACATATCAGAAATAAGAGTATCACAGTTTCGGTCGAACACAGGAATAGGGTACTATAAAAAAATATCACTTTTCTTTTTTTAAAGTACCAAAAAGAAAACCAAACCAGTTCTCACTTTTATTATGCAGAGTGCTACTGTAAACCTTCATGAACAACTGCGATAAAAGCCATTAACATCCCAACTCCTACATCAGCTTTGACTTGGGCTCTATAAAAACAAATGTTTTGAGTGCCAGGGAGGAAGCAAAGATGAAGTGAGATTACTAACCTTTAATGTACTACGGTTGCCAAGCAGGCAGCCCTGTAGCACTGGTTCATACTTTTTTATCAAAGTATCCCAGCTATGGTCACTAGCAGTAAAACTGCTTTCATAGCCTGAGGTAACAGAAGAGCCAGCAGATGCTGCATCTGAGGAATCCGTAGAATATGAGTATGTTGCATCTGTATCTGAGAGAGAGACAGTCTCACAGTCCTGCAGTTTATCGTTCACTGTGGTCTCATTTTCATACTCCAAATCCTCACAGGGCCTAGAGAAGCAATGTAAAGCTCCCAAGTGCTCATAAGCGTGCATCATCTCTTCTGGCTTCTGTAGATTTCCTGCAGTGCTGGGATGTCGAACATACTCAGTTTCCTCAACAGTTGACTTGCCTTCAGAATCTCTTGCTACAGATGCTGAGTTCAGGGAGAGCTGTATGAAACTGAAACTTGAACTAAAGCTATCATGTGCCCCAACAGAATGAGAAATGACATCTCTGGTTTGATATCCACAGCTGTTACTCACTTCTGTCTGATCCAAAGCACACATGTTTGCAGGCTTGATCACTTTAGCACCATCACTTTTCTGCTGTGTAGAGCATACAGCAGAAACATCTCCTTTGTTTGTTGCTGCAGTGGAGTAAACAATTATTGCTGTGTTTTCTGACTGCGGACTCTTGCAACATGGAAGATTTTTGTGGCATCCTGGCATATTTCCAGTAGCGGACAACACTGTTACCCCATTAGCAGGGGCTACAGAACTACAGCATGAGAACTCAAGGTTACTTTGGCATTTTCTGCATACAGAGCAGCTCTCAAGGTGGTCACAGTGCTGCTTGCCATGCCTGAGCTCTTCTGGGCTGAATGGTTTGCAGGCACTCAGGGACTGAAAATCTACCTGTCGCTGAGCTTCTGACCTCATGTATCCAGGTCTTTTTGCCAGCTTCTTTTTACAAAGAGAGCCTGCAGGCATGACGTGCTCCTGAACATCTGGGGGAGGGAAAAAAAGTCATTAAAGTGTTTCCACAGTTTCCTAGGCTTAACATATTGCAGCATCTGAAAATAATCATTTCAGGAATTTCCCACCGTGCATTGCTTTCTGTTTCAACAGAACAAAGACACTGACCGTAATGCTGGTAGAGGAGAAAAGGTGTTGCCAGAGAATGCTGTGTATATTCATTCACTTTCTAAAGAGTTTGCACCTGCTTTTAAGCAAACTCACTAATGTAACTGGGACACAAACCTGGGTACAATGAATTGCATTATCTTCCCTATTCATAGCACCACTCTTATGCTTTTTCATTCTCAATTTGCTTAGCAGCACAGTAAAGCACAGTCCTGGTCAAAGTCTCCCTGGTCCAGAATGATTTTCAGACTTATGAGGACATCTAGGATAGGACTGAATTTTCACCAAAAAGATGAGAACCATGCAAAGAAATTTTGTGCGTAATCTGTTGTTACTCACATCCAGTTTCTTGTGTTCATATCCATGTGTTATCAGTATGAGCAAATGACTCAGATTCTGCTCCCAGAACAGATACAACTCTGTAACAGTCTGTAGCTGCAGATGTCAGTCTAATGAGATATTTTACACATTGTCGTGTAGCTTTACTGTACTACCTATTGTTCAAAATATAATGTTAATGGAAAAGGTTTGCACACAGGACCATTGGTTCTAGAAAACTAATGCCACCATATAATTGGTAGCATTACTGCAGTATTGATATCATTAAGAAAAAAGCTCAATAGCTCAATTTCCCCACACAGACCTTACTTACATAGGTGAAAAGACAGATTTACTGTTTGCAGAGCAGAATAGAAAGAAGCAAGATAAAAATAAAAAATTAATTAAAAAAAACCCAAAAAACAGAAAACAAAAACACCACACACCAAACATTAAAAGTGGGATATCAGAATGTGGTTCTGGTCTTTGTTTTCTGCATATATCTAGTAGAAAAAAATATGGGTGAAAAATTACATGGTGACTACTTTCAAATTCGCATGGATTTACTGCTGCTAGTCAAAAGGTATTCCATTCATCTGTCCTGCCACAATCAATGAGAACACAAGCTCTACACCATGATCTGTTTTGCAATACAAAAACATATTGACTGGACCTATTTACCAGAATCACCCTTCAAAGAGATCTAGTGACTACCTGAATCATGCCTTCAATTACCTGCCCCATGGAAACGGAATCAATTGCCCAAAGCTCAGGTGACAGAAACATTCTCATCACCCACACAGGGCTCTTCCAAAAACACAAGTTTCCAATTTTTTTCTTTACATGCAATAAATTTAATATTCATCTCTAATTACAACCCTTTGACAATTTTTACATGGATATATATGCATGTAATCTAAACCCCTCAAAAACTCCTAACACAGGTTTCATACACACCTCAATACAATGACATCCTATATAAAAACTTAAGCATTGGACCTGAAACTTCCCAGAAGAATTTTTCCAACATTCACTACACTTTCTCCAAATAACCTTCAACAAAAGCAATTTATACATTTTCCGCATCCAACAATAGTGGCACATCTCACCATGTGACTACAGTTAAGCTTCTGTATTCTGCTTCCTACCACCATAAATTAGAATACCCCAGCTGCCTCTTACATTGTCTTTTGTCAGAGGAAAAAGCATCACAGAAATCGGAAATAAAAAGGTCAGGGAGTCCATCAACCTGCCTCCTATAAAAAGACACTGAAATACTGTACTGGGAGTAATTTAATAGAAGTCTTAACAAATAGGAACTGCTTTTGGAGTAAGGGAATAAAAATTGAACAAAATGTTCTTTAGAATTTAATTCTTTTAATTTATATACAGAATAACAGCCTAAGTTTCCTTTCAGCAGAAGAAATCAGTCATGCAGAAAAGTCATTCTAAGACTGGATATACTTTATCACCACTTACAAAGACTAGTCACAGGCCTCATCTGTAAAAATGGAAAAGGTTCTTTGGTTTAATTAAAATCAGCTTAAAATTGTTCTCACTAAATCACTATGAATTTCTAAAGCAGACAGATAATCACAGCTCTTTAAACACCAAATTTAAACTAAGCTAATGTAAGTAAGGTTTAAATTGGCCAAAGCATAGATATTCACACAAAGTGAAATGGATGCGACTCTACAAATTCTTGGAGCCAAAGTGGTACAGTTGCAGTACTTTGAACTAGTCCATGCAAAACTCACCCACTTCGGTGCTCCTCTAGACAGGTTTACCATTCAGCTCCTTTACGGACTCCAGGTATGCCTTCTGGCAAGTCCAGCAGCACAAATCCTTCACCTGGCTACCAGACCAAAATTACAGCCCAAGCCACAGGCTGTTCAGCAGATGTTACGAGTAGAGGGCTGCACGTCCTAAGCCCCAGAACAACTGCATCTGAGCTGGTCAGAGCTGCACTCTGCATAAGCCAGAGAAGGAGGGGACAGACATAGAGCTGGGACCAGCACCTCAACACGAACACACACACCTTCCCCAAGGGATGATGGAGGGAGAAGGCGGCCACAACCTGATCCCTGATTCCAGCCAGAGAGCAGTCATAGTACCCTCAGCCATCCTGAAACCCAGCCAGGATGCTACTATGGCTTTGGGTATCCTGTGTGCTCTTTACCCTTCTGCCATATCTCTTTTTTGAAGATCAGAATAATTTCAGTTGTTTATCATCATGTATCTGAAATTAGTTACAGAAACTTTGGTTTTCTGCATAGACTTCCAACCATAGCTTGCTTTGTTTGCACATCAGATACAGAAACTGCACTGAACTAATTCAGCTAGATTACTAAAGAAAAGCAGGCCTCAAATTTTTCTTGCAATTCCCTCAGTTTCAAGCACAACAAATAACTGATGGCAATTAACTTCAAGGCTATCAACACAGATCCCTGGCAGTATCTTGACAGTGAAGTAACTGAAGGAAATTAAAATACTCCGACATTACAACATGCAATGCATTGTATGACGCATGCACCTGGGAAAGAGTCACAAACAGAAGAGAAGAGCCTTTCAATTATAATACTACAAACTAATTTTTAATATGTTACAATCTAGAAGATGATGGAGTGTATATTCTAATGTCAGACTACACAAATTGCTTCAAATACAAATTTTGAAAGCCCAGTAATAATTAAAATAGCTTTTTCACCATAACAAACTTTCCTAGTGACCAGCATTTCATAAGATCTAACAGCTCAGAGCCAAAAGCACAGTGGACGGGGAAAGGGGGAAGCCTATTGTAAAGCAAGGCTTGACCAGCAATGTTGTTCACAGCTGTACCAGTAATAAGAAAGAGGGAGAGGTAAAGCCAAAGAATGTTTTCCACTCTGCTCAGTGGGAAATTGGGTACAGTGGAAACTACCACAATAGTGGCAGTTCAGTTTTCCCACCAAAGGCTCCAGTATCATTTGTGGACAGACAGGTTTAACTACCTTACATATTTATGAAGTCCAATAGGATTTTATAGATCAGCACAGAAACTCTGAAGCAATTATGTCCCCAACCCTGCTTTAAAGACACAATGCAAAATGCTTGCAAGCTCATTAAGTCCTCCCTGAAAGTAACTGAGAAATTATACGTACAGTTTTAAAGAGAGCTCAAGTATATGAGTACACCTATATTAAACACACTTTATTTTTATTAGAATAACAAATTCACCTTCAGAGCATTGGTGGGTGGTAACTGTGGTGTGGAGGGAAAAACACTTGGTCATATTCAAATCCTACTATCAAAGCACTGCTCCAAGCCATTTATGTAGCGCTCCTTCTGTTAGGGAAGCCTTAAACATCTGCATAAAACTGTATGCCAACAAAGTGAGATGACAATATTTATCATTTACAAATATAGACACACAAACATTTAACATACCAGTAAAAAAATAATCTCCCAGGGATTATTTGATCTGACATGACAATAACCATTACTGTTCAGTTCCTACATCATTAAAATATATAAAATGTTTCAGGTTCCCAATTAGTTATATTTTAATTCATTTGCTGAATTTCAAAGATACCAGTAACTCTTCAAAATAAGATGGCATTGATCTCAACACAGCCTATGTTAAAACAAACCACCCCGTCGCCTTACACAGGTAAATTTCCAAAGAAAGTTACTTCTCAATAAAGATTTTCATAACTCTTAAAAAGCAAAGGTCTCAGACAACTTTTTGACCTTACTAATGGAATGTTAACAATGCTTTATCTAGCATTTTATAAAGTGTATCTACAGAACAGAAGCAACAGCTGAGCTACATTACATTTGATACCATTTGCAAATTATTTCCCCACTAAGAGTTCCTGTGATTCCTAAGGTCACAGACTGGGTTCAGTTATTCAACTGCTAAATTTCCAAGACAGCACATACACGGTATTTTCTGAAGTCATTAAATGCACATTAGTTTCCGTTCTTCATTAAAAACTCTTCAGAGTTGTGCATTTTAGAAGTCAAAGTGATCTTCCATAGCCAGTGTTTAAGTAATTGTGTTTGTATTGACACACTCCCATAACACACGTCATTGAGTTGTTACATTTGAGCCACTTACCTCCTTAGCACAACTCATTTTATGCTATGATGAAATTACAGCACCTCTCACTACAGTAAGAATCACATTAGCTGATACCAGTTTCAATATGCCATAAACTTCTTTTTTCCCCCTTCAGGAAAAATGGTTTTAAACACAGGTTTGCCTAAACACTAAGGAAAAAAAAAAAGAAAAATAGCTGTTAAAAAGTAAGCTGATAAATATCAAAAGCTTCCCATATCAGTAATAATCACCTACTTAGTCAGGGGGAATAAAGAATTTGCTTAATTACATACTGTAATTGTGCTTGATACTACTAAAACTTTAAAACACATCTGCATCATCAGTATTCAGCAGGGCACTGACTGCACATAAAGCAGGCTTTTTTCTCAAGCAAGTGCCTTGCTGAATCAGGGCCTAAGCACCTTGATGTGACAGAAAGAACAGAAATATGCCTTTCTGATCTTT